AGTGCCTCATCTCCTCACCCTTTCCTTGCAATAGGTAAGTGAAAGGCTCAAGGAAACATGGACCGGGGCTGTCGAATCACAGCGCCCCATCTCCCTGGCAGGAGAGCAGTTTATTTTGTGAGGATTTGAGCACAGGATGCAAGGAAGACTGAGTCCGTCTGTAGAACTGGACTGTCAGAAAGGAGTTCTCACTCTGCTGGGGATGCTAAACCCGGGAGGGAGGACTCCGGGGCTACCAGCAGGCATCCTCACCATCGTTTGAAAAGGGCTTGTGTGCAGAACAAAGGCAGAGACCAGCAGAGATAAAAGCCGTGTAGAAAGAGAGAGGGACTCCAGAGGTACTGAGATCCCTTCTAGAATCTGAGGTCCTGTTCCTCTAGCAACTCTTCAGGCACATGAGCTAGTCCAGCTACAAGAGCCATCACATTTCCTCTCTGCTCAAGGTAATTTTAATTGGACTTTTTTCACGTGTCCAAAAGAATCATGAACAATTTCAGGATGTCGTCACGAAAGGTTCTTTGAGGTCTATTATTATCATACAGAAAACTTCTTTCTGAACTCTTTTAGTTGGTCTAACATTTAGAACCTTCAGTTCCAGGATGGCAACTGCTCCTACATAGAGAGCTAAGTATTGTCCCATGACAAATGGAAGAATGTTTTATAACCAGACACATTTCCTGTGATCTGAGACACCCAAGGGATTGCTATAACCATCACAACTTTTCATTCAAAAACAAGAAAAGTTAGGGGCTGGTCTGGCAGCATAGTGGTTAAGTTCACACACTCCACTTTGGCAGCCTGGGGTTCGTGGGTTCGGATCACAGGCTCGGACTTAGCAGCACTCATCAGGCCATGCTGTTCTGGCAGCCCACATAAAGTAGAGGAAGATTGGCACAGATGCTGGCTCAGCAACAATCCTCCTCAAGCAAACAGAGGAAGATTGGCAATGGATGTTAGCTCAGGGCCAATCTTCCTCACACACACACACACAAAAAAAAAAAAAGAAAAGAAAAGAAAAGTTAGGAACCAGATGAAGTTTGTCGTTAGTATCCTAAAACTTCTTTCCAAATTCCTCTGTGCACTTTCAACACTGTCTTGTAAACCCTCCAACTATTCCTTAATACATCTGGTTTTAGGAAAGGCTGTGGGATAAGAAAACGACTACAAGGGGGCCGGCCCGGTGGCGCAGCGGTTAAGTTCGCACGTTCCGCTTCTTGGCAGCCCAGGGTTCGCTGGTTCGGATCCCGGGTGCGGACATGGCACAGCCATGCTGTGGTAGGCGTCCCACGTATAAACTAGAGGAAGATGGGTACGGATGTTAGCTCAGAGCCAGGCTTCCTCAGCAAAAAGAGGAGGACTGGCAGTAGTTAGCTGAGGGCTAATCTTCCTCCAAAAAAAAAAAAAAAGAAAAAGAAAACGACTACAAGACATGTAGAATTCTTCCCCAAAATGTCCAGGAAGCTTAATAACACTAATAGCAGAGAAAACCTACTTTGAGTGAACCCTATGGAGAAAATCTGTCTTAACAGGTCAGTAGCGCACCCTACCTTCTCGGGGGAGCTGGGACTCAGAGCTACTGGGGTTGCAGAGACGTTCTTCCTCTGAGGGTTCCCGGCCAGGTCTGCGTTCTCTAAGTAGCTGCTTCCTTGGCCAACACAGAGGAAAGGGCACTCAGCCTTGATTCATCATGAGAGAGGAAGCCTGATTTTGACTTACTGTAAAATAACATTACTTGCAGCAACTGTTAATAAATCATCTTAAGTAGCCAGAAATCTGTAAACTTTTACTAAAAACGCTTAAATTTTGTCTAAAGAGAGGGTGTGGCTTTGTATGGCTGCCCACAGATCCCAGCAGAACAGAGTCCAGAGGTTTTACTCTGTGCTCAGCGCTGGGCTGCGCCCTAGGGGCTTTGTGAGACACAGGTCGCCCTTTGGTGGCTTAGCATAGGAAACAAATAAGGGTTTAAGGCAGAGGCTGGAAGCATGGGGCTCAGTCTATAGAAATTTCCAGTGAGGCAGGAGGGCTGCTATGTGTAGGCTGAACCTGCTGAGGTGGCCCTGAAATCTGTCCTTTAATTTCTAACCAATCTGTGCACCCTGGCCCCACTTCCTCAGTATCCCAGCCAGTGGGAACTCCCTTTTGCAATTTGTCTGGGAAGAAGCCGGATATACAAAAGGACGCCCTAGAGGATGGCAGACTCAGGGGTTGAAGCTTCTGCTCTCCACAGTACAACAAAAGCAAGGCGGATAGAACCGTGGAGCTCCAGGTCCAGTTAGACCACTCAGGATTCCAGTTTTGAATGAGATAGCAAAAAGCAGAAAATAACTTTGATCACCAAATGAATTGATTCTGATAACCAAATGAAGCTGACAAGTAAATCACGTGTGGTAGGCAGACTAGTACCCTCCTGCACAAATTCTCATTCCCAGACCCTTTAAGATGGTAAATAACATGGCAAAGGGGCATTAAAGTTGTGGAAAGAAGTAAGTTTGCTCATCAGCTGACCTTACAATAGGGAGAGTCTTCGTGGATTAACCAAGTGAGTCCATGGTCTTCTGAGCAGCCCTGATAAAAAAGAATCCTAGGGCTGGCTCTGTGGCATAGCAGTTAAGTTTAGCATGCTCCACTTTGGCAGCCAGGTTTGCAGGCTCGGATCCTGGGTGCAGACCTACGACACTTGTCAAGCCATGTTGTGGCGGTGACCCACATACAAAATAGAGGAAGACTGGCATAGGTGTTAGCTCAGGGCTAATCTTCCTCAAGCAAAAAAAAAAAAAAAAGGAAGATTGGCAACAGATGTTAGCTCAGAGCAAATCCTCTTCACCAGAAAAAAAGAATCCTATAGTGAAAAAAGTCAAGGAGAAAAAACAGGAAATAACTTAGGCAAGCAAGGGTAAGGTCATTAAAAACTTACAACTCGAAATTACCAACTGTCATGATATTTCTTTGTAAAAAGAAATTAGAAAAGCGTATATATTTTCTAATTTGTGAAAACTTTATAGGCACGCACCAGTCTTGGGTAAGCTTTTGTCCTGTGTTAAATATATATATATATTTTCCATGGCTAAAATCTTGCCACATATTAGTCAATTTCTACAGCTAAGAAAAGTTGACAAACTTATAAATCAAGGTTTTGTTTATACTGTTTATAGAGAAGGATAAGCATGTATTCAATGAAGTACAAAATATATGCTGAAACTGTGTAGTAGAAATCTAAGGTATATGAACTTAAAAACTTATAGGACTATATGCGTATTTTTCTATGCTTATAGCCACTAACGTCTTCAATGAGGCTTATGGATATAGTGAAAACACAGACAGTGTTACACTACATTGTATTTAGCCTCTTGTAACATTTTGTGAAGAGTAGAGTGCAGTCTGTCAACTGTGCCACAGTAGCGTAATGTAGCCATATTCTCTACCCATCTTGAAGTGACTACAGTAATGCACTGAGGGCTCTGAATTAATCCATTCAGAACCGTTGCTTCCTCCTCCGACCCCCAGCCCAGCCCAGACTTGTTACCTGTGATGAGCACAAGATTCCTGTACTTATCTCAGGCCCTTACTTCAGAGAAGGAAAATGTGGGCTATGAGAACTAAAAGATTAAAATCATTAAAGATGATGCAGCAACTTAGGAAAATGTTTACAAAATGAAAATGCACCTATGCTCTGACCAGCAATTCCACTCTAAAGCATCTACCAAGAGAAATGAAAGCAGGCCACACAAAGACTTCTAGTGACTTTACTCCTAATGGTCAAAACTGGAAACAGGTGTCCATCAACAGGTGAATGGATGAACCAATTTTAGTCAGTACATTCGAGGTAATACTACTCAGCAATAAAAAGAAATGAACTACTGTTACTAATAACAATATGGGGGAATCTCAAAAACACGCTCAGCGAAAATCTTACAAAGAGTGTAGATATGAGTGATTCCATTTAGATGAAGTTCCACAGCAGCAAAACTAATCTATCCTGAAAAAAATCAGAACAGTGGGGTGGGAAAAGGAACTGACTGGGAAGAGACGAAGAGGAACTTTCTGGATGGTGGGCAGTGTTTTGGGTTACACAGGCTTCTCCATTTGCCAAGATCATTGCTAAGAGCTGAGAATTTCACTGCACATAAATTTTACCTCAAAAAAAAGCCCATAACCAAATACTGAATTCTAGTATTCATTACGTTGAAGTGCTTAAGGAGTGAAGGGTACTGATGGGTATCTGCAATTTATTCTGAAATGCATCAAAAAATATAGGATGGACTGACAGATGGATAGAAAGAATAGATATGTGACAACACAAATATAGTGAAAATTAGGTATCAAACCATCTCAATTTTAAAAAGCAACAATTAATAAATAGCAAGCATCCACAATTAAGTAGCCAATTAAAGGACGAATTTTTTGTTAGAATTTCAATATTCACCAATCCCATTTGCCCCTGTACTGCAGCTTGATGGGTCAGTAGCAGGTCTATAATTCTAGCTCACATCTTGTGTGGATGACAACACCCACTCAAGGAGCTTCATATGGTATTTCATTTGCTCTAGACATTACCTTATAAATTGGTCTCCCAAGGCTCAAGAACAACTCTAGGTCAAGGAGGTTGAAAATTGACTTAGCTAACGCAGAATGAGAATTTAACCAACTAGAAACAACTATTTTCAAATTCTGAACATCTGTGAAGTCAAGATAGCCAAAGTTCCCTGAGTCATTTAGAATTAATTCTTCAACCAAAGGTCTAGCTTATAAAGAATTACGAGGACATTAAGATGATCTTATTTATCTCCTCTGGATGGCTTAAGACTTCCATTACAAACGCTTGCAATCCTGAGCCATTCGAAGGACAATTTTAAGGTCTCCTTTAGCAGACACATCTCAACATTTGAAATGTTTCTTGTATTCAGCACATGAGAGAAAGTTCACCTATTTATGGAACCTTCAGCAAACCTTTATTTTTCTTTCTTTCATTTCACACAAATGAGGACTCCAAACTTTTCTTGTTTTGCCTTCTTTAGGATTTATTTTGTTCCAGAATATGTCACATAGAATCCAAACAACCCCATTTGTTCAATGAGTAAAGCAGTTTTGTGAATGGTCAGAATTTGCCCTTGCACATGCCCTTGACTGAAATACTTGCACCCCTCCAAGGCAGAGCAGGATGGAAATTGCTGGGCTTCTCTCTTTCCTAAGCCCAGTCCCTTCATGTCTCATAAGTCATCACAATTCTCAGAAGTCCTTTTGTAGGAAATTTAGACTGGTAAACTTTCCTAACAAAAGGAGTCCAACCCTCCAAAACAGACCACAAGGCAGAATTAGCCCAAAACTAAGGAATTATCTTTAAATCTCCTCAAATAAAACCCAGATGAAGATTAGAAATAGCATTCTTTCTTTGCTATATGCTATTTTGGAGAAATATTTATTCTGGCTTTGAAGGATTTATCTCAAGGGAAAATAAAACTCAAAGTTAAAGCAAAAATGAGTGGCAGCTGTAATCTTCATAGCCTTTACTGTTGTTCTCTTATAGGGACGGCAAAATAGAAGAAATGTCCCTGAATTCAACTAATGGTTCTCCTTCCATGAAGCAGTCTGCTCAACAGTCATTTAATATTTCCCAGAGACTTCTTTTAAGTCTTGATTTATTCAAAACAATCTTTAGCCTTTGATATTCAAGAAAATGACACTGATACTGAAAGCTCCATGTAAATTATTAGAGGGTCAGAGAACTTAGCTTCAGACTAACCTTCTTTATCCTTGAATCAGAAAATGTTCCAGAAAACCTCTTTCACTTTTAATCCATGAATCTCAGCAAGTGTGGAGACCTAACAGTAAATTAGTCGGATGCTGTCAGTGCCCCATTGCCCATACAATTTTGAACCTCAAATGCCAGCCTTGTGCAATGAATTTTCTAGGGCCAATTTTGATGAATATAAAACTTCCGTAATCAGCCTAGAAGGCTAATAACTCCTTGATTTGAGTGTGTGTATATGTGGTGTGCAGAAGAGAAAGTGTTAACAAAATAGATTGGGGAGGGATAAATAAGAGTCTTATCATTTCACTTTTTTACCATATCCCTTCTTTTAACTATTTAGAATTAACCAGCTCTACAGGCAAATCTAAACTGTCAAATGCCATAAGATTTTGCGGTGACTCACTACTCAAAATGCATTTATTGAGCTCCTACTTTGTAGCAAGGCAAGAAGAAACAGCTACTTAAGATATGTTTGCGGTCTTAAGAAGCTTATGATCACAGCATATGATCAGCTGGTGGAGCAAAGCAAGGACTTTTATTCTCTCTGGCACTGAAATTCTTCATAAGAAAAATAAACAGGAAAACACTTTGGCAAAATGTCTCTAAGTTCTCTTGTAGAGCTGAAATTCTGGGATCATATGAATTCATTATATTTTCTTAGATGTATGAGACTTTTTGAAGTTAGAGGAAGAGTGAGAAGCCCAGTTTAACATAGTTAGTTGGTTTGCTGTATGAATACCCAGAGAACTCGGGAATAATGAAAAATAATCTCAACAGCTGTACTCCAGCAACTTAGCCCACTTTTAGTCCTCCTTTAGGTCAAGTTTCAGTTTCCTGATGGTTCCGCTACCTTCTATTTCAGCTCCTATAATGTCCACTTCTCTTGCAACTACTCAGTGCCTCTGCTCTTCTTTCTTCAGCTCTTGGCTTTTGCTTGTGGTGTCTTTGGCAACCTTATGGAGACTACTAATTGCCTTCTCTCTATGATTCTCTGTGCTTCCGAGCTGCTTTACCATTCGTGTGTCTCACATTTGAGTGCTTCAGACAATCTAACCAGGTCCCGGCTCCTACTTCCTGTAGACAGCATCCTGTTTCCCGGGGTTCTCATGTTGTGACCTGCCACCTCACAGATCACTGGCCAGTAAGCACTGCCTTCCTTTGACTGAGGTGCTAATCTTTGGTCCTGTCAGCTGTGCTCTCAAGCAAGGACTTCCCTGTGCCCAGGGTAAGGAATCACCTGTGCCTGTGTCCTTCAGAAACAAGATACAGAGATAAATGGCATTAAAACAATCACCTAAGATACTTGGGGACACCATGAACTTTCTCAGACCGCACCCAGACCACCACCAACCTAAACCTCTCCTGGGATATACATAAGGATGAAATTCAGAAATTTTGGCTGAGCTGCCTCTATAGCAATGGTAAAATAAGGAAGGCCTCATTTCGATACTAAGAATACTATCTTAAAAATGTCATACTTAAAAGCAGAAGTTAAAAGGAATAACATTTTAAAATGCACATATTACCTTTTCAAATGATGAGCTCAAAGTTATTAACATAATAAAAATATAGATGTAGTTTCTGATGAAAAATCTAAATGTTAAAAAAAAAATTTACCCACAAAGATCAGAAACATTTATCAGAGGGGTTTATGTTTCTGATAAATATTTAAGTTTGTAAGGCAGAACCACTGAGAACAATAAATACTTTACAGCTGGCACTTTGTCAAACCTATAAGTGGCTCTGCCTTAGAATTTTACATCATCACTGAATTTACAGTCATTTGATAAGTGGAACAGGACAAGAATTACTTCTTTCTAAATCTAAACCAGGTAATAAATCTAACATCAGGATTCTTCTTATTGTCTGTTATCATCTGATGACAATGCCTTTTACCTTCATTGTCTTGGCAGAAATATGCTATGTAAAATTATAATGTCATATCACTCACAGTGATTTAACACTATCCAGCCCATACCATTTTAATCAATCAAAATTGTCGCTTTTTAGTGTAATGATTTTGTGGTGAATTCCCTGTGTTTAATATGATATATGGTCCTATCTACTCGTTGATTTACTATTCTCTTCCAAAGTCTAACAGCTCAGGAGGCTGTTCTTGCTTTTGGACATCTTTGGAATTACCAAACAAGAATAATTTGTGGTAATAAAAATGCTAATTTCCATGGCACAATGAAAGCTGAAAAAATATTTTAAGTGATACTAGCTGTAGCTACTTTGAAGTGGAAATAAAAGATGATTTTGTGAATGAAAACCATGGAAGATCTAGAGCTTTAACCTCTGTATCCATGTATGATCAAGCCATCTGCAATACTACAATCAGATACCTCAGCACGAGGTTTGCTCCTTCAACACCATCAAGAAAAATCAGGAACACACAAAGTATTCACCTTTATAAAATTCAGATATACATTGTACAAGTTTCTTTGTTCTCTAAAAAAGAATTGCTGGATAGTTTAAAGTCGTCCTTAAATATTTATAAACCTTTTCTACTAGAGATAAGCTAATAAAAATCAACCCCAGTTCCCATTTTGCAGCTGTAGTATGCACTTAGGATTGGCTACAATGAAGTCGCAAGCAACCACAACATCTCAGTGGCCACACACGAACATTTCTGGCTCATGCTATGTGCCCCAAACAGGTCCACAGACAGTCATTTAGAGACTCAGTGGCTCAGGGACCCATGCTACAGACTCCACACAGGTCACCAGAGAGTCACTGAGGAAGCCTGGTTTACGGAGGCTCTGCCATCTTACAGCGGCACCATCTGGAATATGCAGCCTCCTGAGACACCGCAGGAGGGGAAGAGAGAGCTGCAGGTCCCAAGTCAGGGATTACATGACGAAATTACATGTCTCTTGTGCTCAGAGCCCATTGGCCAAAACGAGTTCCACGGCTCTTCCCAACTGCAAGGGTGGGAGAAAACGTAGTCCTCCTAAGTGCCTGGAAGGAAAAAATAGGATATAGATGAGCTCAAGAAGTCTCAAACTGACATGTTTTTAAAAAATAAAAAATTTCAGAGCTTACTACAGGCAGCACTCTTCAGAGAATCTTGAAAACCAGGTACCTCCTCTGGAATCTATAATCGTATGCACTTACAGAGAAAATTACCTATATGACACCAGATAAGATTAACAACTGATTTCATTATTTAAGCTGCCATATATATTTAAATAAAAGGAAAGGAATATTCTGCCTATAGTTGAAGCTAATGAAAGCACTTATCTTTAAATTTTTTAAACCTTGTTCCAATTGGCAAAGTAATAAAAGTAATTTAAAATAAAAAATTTTCATTTTGACACCCAGTCATCCCAATTCTGGCTTGAAGAAACATAAACATAGATTTTAAGCACAAAAATATTAATAAAAACATCTAAGATTCCATTATTTTTAATTTAGCCCTAGCAGAATGAGTTGAGCTTCTTTCAAACTTGCTACAATAGGTTCCTTGCCCACTGTTACCACTCCCACCAGCCAGGTCAGGCTGTCAATGCAGTTCCCAGTGACAGAATCAAGAGTTCCTGGGTTGCGCTGGTTCCTCAAGGCCCACCCTATGCTGATGGGGAAAGAAACATGGGAGTTCATTCATTCATTCAACAAAGATTTTTTGGATACCTACTAAGCACCTGGCAATCTATCATACTCTGAGAATGTAGCAATCACTGAAACAAGGAACAATCTCCAAAACACAAAAGAATTCTCCTCTCTTGGACCTCACCTACTAGTGAGAGAGGAGAACAATCGAGATTAAGGGTAGCCATAGAATAAACAAACAAACAAATGAGGAGGATAATTCCATGTAATGATGAATGTTATGAAGAAGATAAAGTGAAATAAAAAGATGGAGACAGGAGTGGAACTTGGAGCCACTTTGGAGTGGATGGACAGAAAAGATCTCTGAGGATGTGACATGTGAGCTGAGAGCAGGAGGATAAGAAGGAGCCAGGTTGAAGGGAACCCAAAGGCAAAGGTCTTAAGACAGGAAAAAGCCTGGCATTTTCCTGGGCGAGAAAAATCACCAGAGCCACAGGGCTAGTGAATGAGGAAAACCAGTAGATGGGCTAAGTCAAGACAGAATCAGGGAAACATAAGAAAAAGGTCACTGTCAACTCAAGATAAGTCAGCAGTCCCCAGATTTCTAAATCATTATTGTGGTATAGAACAGAAAGTTTCATCTGATGATTAACAGTCGATACTAAAGCAAGTTCAGGACAGGGCTGCCAGGACAACAGAGAGTACACAAAGTCATCCTCCAATACTAAACAGCATTCTAGAACAGGTTTAGGTAGTTAAAATTATTGATGACCTTAAGATATTTAAAAGCTTTGTTTATTTGAAAATATCTAAGAGTCATACTCTTATGATTCTTTAGGGGCTTTATTTTCTAGCAGAAAAAGCATACCAGAATATTCTTAGAAGTCCTATCAAGCACAGTCTTAAATTTCTCTCAGGTCACAACAAAGGGTCTTACAGGCATACTCTTGAGATCTTTATTTGTATCATCTTGGATTTGATCTTTGCTCTGATGTCACCACTGACTTTGAGAATCTTTTGTTGGGAGACAGTGAAGATGAGAAACTATTTTTTTAACACAGAAAGTCCTGACTTCTTTATATTTCCTCTAATTTTGCATAAAAATTGTTCCTTAAATTTTTCTAAATTCTATTCAAAACAATTCTTTCTTGAGTTCATATCTGTATTCTCATTTTGTTTTATCACTGGCACTAAAAAAAACTATTTGGCAATGGCTAAATCTACTTAGCCAAATTCATAAGTTCATTAGGTACATATGCCAGAGTATAATGGCTGCTTCTTCACTTTTGCCCCCTCAAATCTCATTTCCATTTCTCTTAGAATCATACAGGGAAAAGAACAGTGGCAAACAGACCAAGCTTAGTTGACATTACAAAACCACCATAGTTATAGAGGCAGCAAAAATATGTTCCTCCCATTGTTACAAGCTTATTCATCTTTTTCTATAAACACTGGAAAAATCAAAAGAAAACTAGTAAAAACTTGATATTCCATAAAAAATTGTGATTTTTCTTAATGTCAATAATTTTTAGCAAAACTATTTACAGTTGCTGCATTGTGGAATAACTTAGTATCTTCTTGTCACATGTGAAACCCTTCCCTTTGCCTCTTCTTATCCCTCAGGTCTGACTGCCCTCCCGTCGGAAAAGCTGCATCAGCTGCTGTTCTGCTTATATAACGATAAATGTTCTTCACAAATGAAATTTAATCAATACAGAAAGGCATACTAAAGAAAGCAAAAATCATTCGAAATTCAGCAACACTGTAATGTCACTACTAACACTTTAGTGACCATCGCTTGATGGTTCTCTTTACGCACATGTACACACATACACTTCTACATCTTCCAGGGTAATTTTTACTGTGAACTTTTATTAATTGATCCTTGCTTTCCTTATGTGCTTGTTTTTCTTGTCTTCCATCTACCTTTCTATAAATCATCATATCTCCATCAAGGTAACCAGTGTTAAAAACTAGAATATAGTTTTTTGCGTCTTTCACATGTGTGTGCGTGTGTGTGTGTTTACCATGGTTTATCCTCACTTTTTGAAAAAAAACTCTCCAATTCAACTGGTAGAGGGTAGAGAGTTATAACTTATTTAAATGAATTCATAATATATAAACCCCTACTCCTATTAGAATTTGTATCTTGTATATGACAAAAAGAATGAAAAGCTCATTTTTACTTTCTTCAAAATGAATAGCCAGTTGTATTAACACTAGTTATTAAATAAAACACTTGTTCCCAGGAAAATGTCATATAGTAAATCCCTGGTATACTGGCTTGAGCTTTCTATTTTATTCTTCCAGTCTATATTTCTGGTACTATACCAATATCATATTGTTTGTTAATAATGGATGAATGTTTTAATATATATTAAGACAAATTTATCCTCACTGTTAACTTTTCCTAACTTTTTTGGCTACTCTTTTTGGTTCATTCTTTTACAATCAAATAGTATCATTTTATCTCATATATTTTTAAAATACTGAGATTCTAGTTTGAGTTGCATTAAATGTATGTATTAATTTGGAATTAGTGACATTTTGTGTTTATTGAGTCTTCCCATCCAAGAGCATGGTGTCTTTCTGACTAGTTAATGGACTTAAGTAGACTTCATAGTTTTATTTATATAGGTGTAGTTTCTTTCTTTAACATTTATCTCTAATATTTCATAGTTTTCCTACTTAATAGGGTAGTGAACAGCAAACAAGCCTAAGTAAGTCACAAACGTGATTTTTAGCTCCTGGATAATTAGCACGGGCTATGACCAAGTTCTCAATCAGAATTATATTAAGGAACTAAGCTAGTGCAATCCCTGTATCAACAAAGTCAAGATCATAGAGCAATCCCAGTTGTAGATCTGTTCCAACAGCAGGCCGGCAAAAAGCAGGTGTGGACCACAGCAAATCCATGGTCACTAACAGACAAAGAAAAAGCGAGCGTACTATTTATCCCCTGAATTCAGCTGGAACATTCTACAAAGAGTAATTGATAAAATAGAGAGAGAGAGAGAGAGCGCTTTCATAGTTAAATAGTTTAAAATAAAATGCTGACTAGAGTCAAGGGCAGGAAAACCAAATCTGCAAATTTACAAACCACCCTCTGTTTACACCTCACACAAACTCACAAACTGTCTCTTAGCAAACTGCCCGTCTTAATTAGCAGTCACAAGTAACACTAGGAATGAAAGAATGTGTTGATTCTCCACTCTAGATACCAACTTCATAATTTTTTAAAATTTCATTCTGAAAATGCAATCATTTTCATTTGGAAGATTCTATAATCAAGCACTAACACTATCTTTTGAGGGAGAGTACAAGGACAAGGAGAACAATGTGTGAATTTTACTGCCTGTTCTTTCTGGTAAGTGGTCTGTAGCTATAATCATCGTGTCCTAATTCAAGACACATACGAAGACACGCCAATTGGTTACTTGAATAGTTTCAATCAAGGTGTTTTTGTATATCCCTGAATACCAAATTATCTTGTGATTTTCTCCTACAGTATTTAGGGTTGCAATGAACTTAAGAGTCCTGTATCCCAGACATTAAGCTCCACTTGATTTTATTATGTATCTTTCCAATAAACATGCCATCCAACCAAAGTTGAATTAAGAAACAGGAAAGCTAGAGAGCTGCCCAGGGTGCCAAGCCCTAATGGACATCAAAAATCCCTTAAATAAACTGAAAATACAGCACCAATCAATTGAGGTTTTATATATGACTCCTTACATAACTGTCAAATTATAAGTGATTCTTGCTCCCATTTAGTTCCTGGTTTTGAATATATATATATATATATATATATATATACACACACATATATATGATATATATATATGACACTCAATATATATATTTTCTGGAATATATATACAAAATATATTTTTTCTGGAATGTATATATGTATATTCAAAGTATTTTTTCTGTATACATCCATAAATATATATTATACATATTATTCATAATCCCTACTGCCTTTTACGGAGAATGGATCCTTTGTTTAAAAAAAAATCTCTCTCATTATAATGGTCCTTTGACACACTTGAGGAAAACCTTGTGTCGTAGACACAGGCAGCAGTGAAATTCAAAATGTTAACTAGCCAGTACAGCAAGGACACCAGCTAACCAATTCTTTCTCAGGAAAAATATGTACAGAAAGAAAGAGGACTAATACATCCATCTATGTCTCTGTCTCTCTAGACTAAACTTTCCCGTGACTTTCAGAACTGGCTACACTATCACGGTTTCAAATCTTCTCCCCATGCTGGTTTTCCTCCCCCTGCCCCCACAGCCACAGCCCCTACTGATGAAGACAATAGTCTACATGTGCTCCCACCAACAGGAAGGACCACAGACTTCCACCTCTCCTTTCTTTATACATGGCTTTAAAACAGTCAAAAATT